CTTCAAATAGTAGCACACGATCTCGAAAGCACGTATGAAGGCGATCGAGTTGGGGTGCAGTTGCGAAGAAGCCAGGCGGAGATGTCAGAAAATGACCACTTGGAGATCAGTAAAAGGAAGCCCAAAGTCCATCTCTTAAAACAGGATATCCTACATGGGAAGTTTTTGGGCATTGAATTTCGAGCATATACGATGACTCTGCCCGAGAACGTATATCTACCACTCCTCCTCAACACCCTCGAGCTCCATGTCCACCATCGGGAACACCTCATCTGGATGCTCGATAAAAAAGGAAGCATGCTCCCAAAGGCATGGCGCGACCCAAGCCAGAGGGTCTTCAACAACCGCAGGCGCATTCTGCCCGACTTCACCAGCAGAAGCCACGGGCGCATCTTCCCCGATTGCATCTTGTTCAAGCGAGCCTGGTTCCTACATGCCCGGTTCAGACTCAAGCGCCCTTGAGGTTCTCTCTTCGGTAAATGTATATTCGGTGGAACTCTGAGCAGAACCATTGGGCTCGTTCAAAAACTCGTCATCACCACTGTTACCCATTGTACCTGAAAAACAGAGGACAATAGTGAGTTCGACATCAGAGTCAAATACACCCTTCCGTTTCTAATCAAGTGAAAGGGCGTGAAGGAATGAGGAACCCGTCCTCGACCAGAGCCCTCACTCGACAGAAAAAAATAGGCACGACGACGATCTCCCTCAAACGCGTTGAATGGGTCGAAACCTAAAATATCACGGGCAATGTCCCCCAAACAACTAAGTTTAAGAAACCCAGAAGGTTCATTAGGAATGCACGAAGATCATAATAGAACACAAAAATGGCCTAAATTCGCCAGAGAAATCATTAAAACTTGTCTTGGCTCAATACCTCCTAGAGAGGTTTGTGGCAACACCAGTGCCCTCGCATGGCAGAGCCACCGTCTAAAACCAACAGTCTGCCTAAGATTTTTCTACCACTCTAGCCATAACCACATGCATGCATTTCTAGGGTAAAAAGAATATCTAACCTAGAACAAATGCAAACCTCATAAAAGGCAGAGGGAATCAAAAACCTTACTGGACTAAAGGGAGTGACAGTGATGACAAACAAAAATCTACGATGGTGAGCGATAGAGCAAACAAAAACTTTGTTGGGAAGCAACATTGAGCATAAACAAGTCAGTCGAGCAAAGCGAGAGCAAGCAAAAAAATGTGAATGAAGCTATCTCTCTCCCTTTTATAGACTTCCTGCTAACACGTGAGCATGCATGCACCTAGGAGACCTAAGGGTCGCCATCATTATACCCTAGTCCCTAGGATTGCCATCATTATGATGCTGTAACAACATGCAGCTCGAGGCACGTGTGACACGCTAACTCTTCAGACTTTAATCAACTATTCCTCGCCCCGCGAGTCGAACACAGAGAATAATTCTCAAACCCCTCAAAAGAAATAGTTCCCCGATAATGTCACGAGTATAAGTCATCACCCCTCTTCCCAGAGGCAAGGACTTGGGGGGGCTACTGTTCTGGACTAGCCCAATGACTAGAATTGCCCAATCCACTTCTTCCTCAACATGTCGGGGACAACTTTTTCCCACTAACTCTGTCGAGCATACTTGATTGACCACATCAGGGAAATATCAAGGACTATGATGCCATGGTCATGCGCCTGCCCGCATCAACGGCCGATTCCATGTCTGCTCGCTACTTGTTGAGCAGACAACCAAGAGGGCGCTCAAAACACGTCTGCCTGTCATCTCACCCTTGCTCGAAGAAACGTCTAGTTACATGCACAACTTCCTGTTTTGACCAGGTTTTGGCAGTTACTTATTTTTGCATACCCGAATATCTAGGCCCAAAAATAGGAACCAATGGCTACGCGATGGGACATTATATAAACCCTTACACTTGTGAGGTCCAGGTATCAAATATTCACTTATTAAACCCTAACCTCTTTCTTGTATCTCTTTTTACTCTTTCTCACTAGATCGTGGGAATGCCTTGCAGGTACACCCCCCCTCTCTCCATAAATTTCCAGCCAAGCAGACGTTGTCATCTCATACCACTTTCAAGTACTGATCACAGGTACGATTAAAACCCATCCTAAATGAGTACCAAATGTGCTCCTTTGAAGATGGAAGCAGTAGAAGAACAAGGAAAGTGTCTCCCCTATCTTCAAATAGTAGCACATGATCTTGAAAGCACGTATGAAGGCGATCGAGTTGGGGTGCAGCTGCGAAGGAGCTAGGCGGAGATGTCAGAAAATGATAACTTGGAGATCAGTAAAAGGAAGCCCAAAGTCCATCTCTTAAAACGGGATATCCTACATGGGAAGTTTTTGGGCATTGAATTTCGAGCATATAAGATGACTCTGCCTGGGAATGTATATCGACCACTACTCCTCAGCACCCTCGAGCTCCAGGTCCACCATCAGGAACACCTCATCCGGATGCTCGATAAAAAAGGAAGCATGCTCCCAAAGGCATGGCGCGACCCAAGCTAGAGGGTCTTTAGTGACCGCAGGCGCATTCTGTCTGACTTCACCAGCAGGAGCCACAGGCGCAAATTTCTTGATTGCATCCTGTTCAGGCGAGCCTTGTTCCTGTACGCCCGGTTCAGACTCAAGCGCTCTTGAGGTGCTCTCTTCGGTAAATGTATATTCGGTGGAACTCTGAGCAGAACCGTTGGGCTTGTTCAAAAACTCGTAATCACCACTATTAGCCATTGTACCTGAAGAACAGATGACAAAAGTGAGTTTGACATTAGAGTCAAATCCACCCTTCCATCGCTAATCAAGTGAAATAGCTTGAAGGAATGAGGACCCCGTCCCCGACCAGAGCCCTCACTCGACAACAAAAAATAGGCACGATGACGGTCTCCCTCAAACGCGTTGGGCACCTAAAAATGGGTTGAAACCTAAAATCTCACGGGCAACGTCCCCTAAACAACTAAGTTTAAGAAACCCGGGAGGTTCATTAGGAATGCACGAAGATCATGATAGAACACAAAAACGACCTAAATTCTCCAGAGAAATCATCAACACCTGTCGTGGCTCAAGACCTCCTAGAGAGGTCTGCAGCAACGCCGGTGCCCTCACATGGCAGAGCCACCGTCTAACACCAACACTCTGCCTAAGATTTTTCTACCACTCTAGCCCTAACCACATGTATTTCTAGGGTAAACAGAATATCTAACCTAGAACAAATGCAAACCTCATAAAAGGCTGAGGGAATCAAAAACCTTACTTGATTAAAGGAGTGACAGTGATGACAAACATAAATCTATGGCGACGAGCGATGGAGCAAACAAAAACTTCATTGGGAAGCAACTTCGAGTAGAAACAAGTCAGGCGAGCAAAGCGAGAGCAAGTGAAAAATGTGAATGAAGCTACCTCTCTCCCTTTTATAGATTGTCTGCTAACACGTGAGCATGCACACACCTAGGAGACCTAAGGGTTGCCATCATTACACCCTAGTCCCTAAGATAGTCATCATTACAATGTTATAATAACACGCGGCTTGAGGCACGCGTGACACACTAACTCTTCAAACTTCAATCAAATGTTCCTCTTCCCGCGAGTCGAACATAGAGAATAATGCTCAAACCCCTCGGAAGAAATAGTTCCCTGGTAATGTCACGAGCATAAGTCATCGCACCTCTACCCAAAGGCAACGACTTAGGGGCTATTATTCTAGACTGATCCAATGACTAGAATTGACTCAATCCACTTCTGCATCAGTATGGCCCAAATAACTTTGGTCCACTAACTCTGATCTTCTGTCGAGCATACTTGATCGACCACACCAGGGGAATATCAGGGACTATGATGCCATGGTCATGCGCTTGCCCGCATAAATGATCGATTCCATGTCTGCTCGCCACTGTTCGAGCAGACAAGCAAAAGGGCGCTCGAAACATGTCTGTCCGTCGTCTCACTCTTGCTCGAAGCAACGACTAGTTACGGGCACGACTGCTCGTTTTGACCAAGTCTTGGTAGTTACCTATTTTTTGCGGACCTGAATATCTAAGCCTAAAAATAGGAAGCAACGACTACGCGCTGGGGATATTATATAAACCAACTATATCATCCACAAATTTCCAGCCAAACAGACGTTGTTATCTCGGCCCACTTTCAAGTTCTTATTTGTGAACGCACAAATATACCAAAATTCGTGCAAGCATTGTTCCTGCATGTCCTTTGCAGAAGCTCCTTTATCACAGGAGCCAGTGCTTAATTATATTTGTTTCATTTATTAAACTTTATAAATCTTTTTATTACTACAACTCTACCGATCTGTAAAAAAAAAATTCTTTTATTTTTCACAAATATTTTTTATAAAATTTGTGTTTCATAGTTTTTCTTAACAATAAAATTTTTTAAAAACTTATACAATTATCTTACTATTCATTTTTCCTTTTCTCTAGTAAAATTTTGAAAATTTTTAATTTATTTGAATTCTCATGATAAATTAGTGATAATTTCGCAGTCAACACATAACCTGTACGGACGCACATATATTCTATTAATTTCAATTAAAGCCATATTTTATACCATTTATACAAATGAGTTATATTATCCATCCACTAAAAATTTAAATAATTCTTTTATACTAATTATTTTAAAATTATAACTTATTTTAAAATAAATTAATATTAAACTACATTATTTAATTCATATAGATACGGATACCCAACTAAATTCAAGTCACTAAACATTTATCAATAAGAAATCACAATTAAAAATTTCTTGCGACATCCTGTTTCCATCAACAATGGAATTTTAATATATAAGCTATATAGATGAAAGAAAAAACAACATGGCACTCCCAAGTAGCAATAGCTAAGTATTTTTCCAACATTTATTTATTTAATATAAAATAAAATTAAATCATGTAGAAAAAAAGTGATTAAAAAAAATATTTGTTTTGTGACGTTATAAGCTAGCAAAAATGATCCTCATCATTGCCACGTCACGCCACTTTGAGTCATCTCCGAATATCGCTATCACAATCAATGAGTCTCCTCCCTTCCACCTCGTTCTGCATCTAACTCCACTACACAGTCTGACGTAGCCGAAACGCTCGATTTCCTCTCTCTGCTAAGAATTCTCGTGAACGACAACACCCGACTCATCGGCGACCGGAAAGACGACGAAGAGTCACACGCACACTCGCTCGTTCCCGGAACATCGACTGTGACGCCAACTAACGAAGATTGCTTCTCATTAGAACACGAAGAAGAAGTAAACTCCGGTTCAATCCCGTTGGTTTCTTCCCGAAAACTCGAACCCGAAACCAGCTCCGGTTCACACACATCAATCGTCACTTCAGGCCGAGTCACAGTTACTTGAACAGGAAGAAGCTCCACCGATTTTCTACAAAGCGGACACGTAGAATGACAATGAAACCACATATCAATACAATCAACATGAAAACTATGATTACACTTCGGCAAAACACGGCCCATTTCTCCTTCCTCAAACTCCGACAAACAAACAGCACAATCCACCTGATCCGGCTGTGACTCAGAAGAATATTTGAACACAGGGAGAGACGATATGACATAGGGATCGAGGCCGCGAGAGACATCAAGCCTCAGCGAGCCAGGAACATCGTGCTCAAAGTAAAAAACAAACGACTGACGTCGAATGTGGCGTGCACGCCGAAGGTGTTGTTGACGGTTGCGATTACGGAGAAGGTGCCATCGGATAAGAAGGTGAATAGAGAGGAGTGTGACGGTGATGATGAAGAGAATGATGACGGTGGATAGCATTATCTTGCCTCCGTGTGCGTAGTAGTTTTCGGATCCCATACCCGAATCCATTTGAAATGTGTTTGTTTGATTGGTTGAAGTTGAAGTGAGTTGGTTTTGTTTTTGAGGATGTTACTCTGGTGTACTTCATCAGTTCCTTAATCCTTTCTCTCAACGTTTTGGGAACAGATTTAAAATCACTGTTCACGCGGTTGAAATAAAATGACGTTTCTGCCCATGGTTTTAGGTAATATTGGTTTTGCGGTTACTTCGGTTGATGAATGATGATTCTTAATGTGGTCATTGACTATATCTGGTTTATACTTTGATTGACTCTCTTAAAGGCATTTTCTAGAATTTGTTAAATAAATTGTTTTTTTCCATGCAATTTATTTCACTCTAGTCTCTATTCAAAGCTTTTAGTTTATTTTTTCTTTTTTTAACATATATTTACAAGTTTTATTTATGATCTTGACCATGAAAGAAAAATGGTCAAAAATAGATAAATATATCACTTTTTTAGTTTCAGTTTTCTTTTTTTAATATATATCTACACGTTTTATTTATGATCCTGACCGTATAAGAAAAATGGTCATAAATAAATAAATATATCATTTATAAATATAAGTTGTTTTGAAGAAATAATTGAATTTACTATTTTAATAAAACAATAATTTAATTGTTTCTATCATATTCTTATCTTTGTTATAATTTTTAAATTTTTTATTTTTAATATTATTAGTAAAAGATGATTTTACAAATCATTTTACAATTTTTCTATAAAAAATTATATATATTTTTTAATATGTGTAAATGTTTAAACCATGGAACTCAAAGATCAATGTGATTGGAAGAGAGATAAAAATTAATATTTTATTTATTATAATTTTTTAACATTTAGTTATCATAATTTATTTAGTCACGCAGTATCTTAATTTAATTTATGATTTTATTTTAATTTTTTAAGTAATAAATGTTACTTTTTAGTTTTTGAAATATTAGTGAAGATAGTTTATTCTGTCAATTTTTAAATATAAATGGTAAACATCGAATAATACCTTGAGTGTCAATGATAGACTTTAATTTTTTTAATTGAATAGTTTAATTTGATTAAAAAAAATTTAACGGTTGACATTTCTTCATTTTTTTTATTTTATCCCTTCTTGTTTTTATCATCTTAAATACATTCATATCAAAATTCAAAAAAATTTAAAATAAACTAAAAAATTTAGCCCATACCCGATTTAACAATTAAACTCATTTTTTTAAATGATAAATTAATTATTCATTAACCAAAAAATATATATTCTCAAGATTGTTTCCATCGTGTCTTGTCCTTTCTTAGACATGTCTCCCTCTCCAGCATCCAAGATTGTTGAACCTCCTAAACAACAACAACAAAAAACTCCGCATACGAAGTAAACAATGTTTATAATATTCCACTAAGTTAGCTTACAACACTATCTGTGGAGGGATGGAGGCTTGCGATTGTCATTCCATAAGAAGAATACATCTTGAGATTAGAAGCTTGCACAGTGTCCGCTTTGAAAACTAAATTATTGGAGCTTTGGAAATTTATAGGAAATGGGGCATCACATCCCTTAGTAAAAGGATATTATCAACTCTCTTTAACCTCCTTGAAAGATGTCAGAAGAGTAAGTCGAAAAACACATGGAACATCAACCCTAGATTCCTCAAGATTTTTCCATGGAGCAAAGACTTTAACCTCAATCATCTAAAGCAAACCTTGGCTCATGTATGGGTGTGAATTCACAGTTTGGCTCAAGAGTATTGGAGATCTAAGATAGTATTTTCCATAGCAAGTAGTATTGGAACACCTTTATACATAGATTTTGCAACAAGCAAAAGAAACTTTGAGAGGCCTTTTGGTCATTTTATGAGAGTTCCTCAACGAGATTTTAAGTCGAGTTCCTCAGCCGAGACTTTAAGTAGAGTCCTTTAGGTGATACTTTAAGTTAAGTCCCTCTGGTGAGACTTTAAGATGAGTCCCTCAATTGAGAATTTAAGTTGTGTCTTTCGGGCGAGACTTTAAGTTGGATCCCTTAGGTAAGACTTTAAGTTGAGTCCCTCAGACAAAACTTTAAGTTGATTCCCTCGAGAGAGACTTTAAGTTAACTTCCTCGAGCAAGATTTTAAGTTGAGTCCCTTGGGAGAAACTTTAAGTTGAGTACCTCATGAAAGGCTTTAAGTTGAGTCCTTTGGGTGAGACTTTAAGTCGACTCCATCAAGTGGGACTCTAAGTTGAGTCCCTCGGGTGAGACTTTAAATTGAGTCCCTCAGAAGAGACTTTAAGTTGAGTCCTTCAGGCGAGACTTTAAGTTGCATCCCTCATGCGAGACTTTGAGTTAATTTCCTTAAGTGGGACTTTAAACTTAGTCATTTGGATGATACTTTAAGTTAAGTCCCCTCGGGCGAGACGTTAAGTTGATTTCCTCAGGCGAGACTTTAAGTTGAGTCTCTTATGAGAGATTTTGAATTCTCTCTTTTATAGGAAAATTTGTAACCACGCCTATAGGGGTATCTCTTTAATGAATATTCTCACATCTTTTGGCGATTCGCTTATCAAATTTCTTGCATTTTATTTGTTTGTTCATCTAGGGTTTAGGCTAGGTCGCCTTCTAAGGTCCCGATGATTCCTTTTTTGGCATTAAATGAGTAGTGTCTTGAGGTGTCATGGATCCTGATCTTACCGGTTGATCAGAACCTACAAGGTGGCCGGATGATGATCTTTTATCGGGCTAGAATGTCGAGGAGGAAAAAAGGGGTTTGTACATACAAGACACTCTGACGATCAAGTAAGTGTGGGAGCAAGGAGATACAAACAAAGTATTAGGGTTTTTGTGATGAATAGTGAATATTCGATACCTAGCCCTCACATGTGTGGGGGTTTATATAATGCCCCTGATGCATGTCCATTGGTTCCTATTTTTGGACCTAGATATGCAGATTCATGAAAATAGGTAACTTCCAGTACTTGGTCATATCGAGCAGGTGTTCCCGTAACTAGCCGTTGGTCCCAGGAGGAGGTAGGTTACGGGAAGCGGCCTGGTTGGTTCTTGGTTGTCTGAGCGACTTGAGGTCATGAAGACTAGGAGGTGCTCATCGATTATCGAAGGTCAGTACTGATCTAAGAGGGCAAACTATTGATGGTGCCCGACAAAGGATGTGGGAGATCAGGGTTATGTCGTGTGTGCTTTATCAAAGGAGGACTCTAGATTGGGCTAACACAGGCTGTCGGGCCAGTCCAGAACAGTTGCCCCCCAAGTTGTTGCTTCTGGGCGCAAGAGTGATGAATTTAGCACCTGCTCATAGGATGAGGCGATTTTTTCGAGGGACATAAGCATTGCCCATTTTTCCTTTCTCGCGGGAAGATGATGATTCGACAGTTTTGAGCTTTGAGTCTGAAGAGGTAGCGTGTTTCGGGAATACACTGACGAAGCGGCATAATGATGGCCTAGAGGCTAGGGTGCAATGACGATGACCCTAGGGTTATCTAGGCGTGTGTGTCTCTCACGCGCGGGCGATCCCAGCTATAAATACGAGAGAAGTGGGGCATTCTGTATTTTTTATTCTTCTCTCATCCTGCTCGTTGTTGCTCGTTCGTTCGACCGTAGCTGTTTCTTGGAGATTTGTTGCTCGCCGCTGCCCTTTTCATCCTTCTTTCTTCTCCAACTGGTAAGATTTCAATTCTTCGTTCTCATTAGGCCTTCGTAGTTCAGATATTTGTGATTTTAGCCTTAGAAATGCATGCGGTTAGGGTTAGGATCTTGTCAGTTGGGGTGTTTTAGAAGAGTATTGGTAGCGGATGGTGGTTCTGCATTTTTAGAGACGCCAGAGCCGCCACGGGTTTTCTCCTGACGTTCGCGATGCACCATAGGTGACCCTTGGGGACTTAGGCTATTTTCGCTGATTGGGGCTTGTCTTGTTGAATAAGCATTCATTTGCTCAGATGCCTTAATGAGGGTTCTGGTCGGGGACATAGTCCTTGTTTATCAGCGCCCTTTCACTTGATTAGTGGTGGAAGGGAGGTTCTGGTGATGATGTCGAACTCACCTCTATCATCTGCTTTCCAGGTACTATGACCGACAATATCGAGGATGATTTTTCATATGGACGGACTGGATCCTCTCAGAGCTCTACGGACGATACCAGCAGTACGTCGAGCATCCAGAAGATTTCTGAGGATGAACCGAACAGATCTGATATGCAGTTAGGGGGAGAGGACGCGGAGATGGCGCATGTCAATCAGGGTGGCCTGTTTCCGCCTGACGAAGATGAGGACCTGTGATCTTGGATCGCCCAAGATCCTTGGGATTGGGTTTCTTATTTCTTTGAACAATGTGATGAGGTTTTCACCGAGGTGTACGTGCACGACGATGGAGGTCGAGGGGACTGGTCGCTTTGGATCCCCGGGAAAGACAGTTGGATCTGCTCCAAATATGATAAGATGCGGATCCCTATATACGACATCGTATTCCGAGAGATGGGCCTCCGGCTCCCCTTTTCAGATTTCCAAGTGGCCGTCTTTCATTATCTTTGATTTGCTCATTCCCAGTTGCATCCAAACGGGGTTGCTTTCATGCGAGCGTTCGATATTGTTTGTGACTACTTGAAGATTGGGGCCATCATCCCTCTGTTCTTTTACTGTTTCCATATCCAGAGGAGTATGATTAATGGTAAGTAGGAATGGGTTTCCCTGAAGCAAGGCAACAGGAAGTTGTTCAAAGCTTACTTGGAGTCTGTCTGGAATTTTAAGGACAAATATATTCTGGTGCAGCCTCTCTCGAGCAGAGCGATGCTTAACATTTTCAGGATTGCACCAGTATACGAGGAGGATGCGGCCCCCATTTTAAACGAGTTGGGAGATCCTGTGAACAAGCTGGTTTATAAGTTCCCCTTCCAGTGGATGAGGAAGCATTTCGATATTAAATTGGGTTCCTATGTCTGGAAGAAGGGGGAGCTCGGTGTTGAGGACCAGGAGAGCTTTGCTGTCTTAACCGCTTTCGTGGCGCGGATTCCTTGCGTCCAGAGAGCGGGCCGGGAGGTAAATC